ATATATATATATATATATATATATATATATATATATATATATATATATATATATATATATATATATATATTTGTCATTTCTTTGGAGACATTTCTTGTAATTTTTCTATTTGAAAAAAAGAAAGAAAGAGAGATTGAAAGCTCTCTTTCAAAGAGTGTTTATGAGTAGATATGAAAATAAATAAGAAAAAAATAATTTCGTATTGATTATCTTCCTCCACCGTTATCATTTTCGTTGATTGCAGATTAATTTAAAATTTGAAATTGTGAATTTTTGTTGGTCGCAGATTGATCTAAAATTTAAAATTTGGAAGTTCCTATACAATTATTATTTTATTTATTCACTTTTTAATAAAAAAATATTTTCTCGATTTATGTATTGTCATCCTTGAGCACAAGTACTCGTGCTTATTTTCTTAGCGTCATTCTAGCATTTTTGCAAATATTCATCTTGTATGGTTATAAAGACAGACTTATTGATTTTTGAAGTTCGAAAGATGACATATAAAATGAATTGGCGTGAGTAAAAAAATTAAATTTATGTTTCAGATAAGGAAATATGTATAACATGGAAAGCATACCCAAACTATGTATTCTTATTTTTTCATTTTTAATTTGTATAATAATGTTTAACGGATACAAATTGAACCTTACAAATTAAAAGTATAGTTATAAATTATCTCAAATTAAACATATTTTTAAAATATATATTACAAGAAAAATTTAAAATGTAATAAGAATATTTGAGTTATTGAATAAAGTCTAATTATGATGTTGGCACTTTTGTCTTTTTTATTATTTCTTGATATTCTTTGGAGATATTTTTTTTTTTGTAATTTTCCTATTTTAAAAAAAGAAAAGAAAAAAGAGAGATCGAAAATAAATAAGAAAAAAAAATTATTTCATATTGATTATCTTTCTCTTGCACTCAATGCTCCAGCCTTTCATTGCCCCCCTTCATCGGTTGATCTAAAATTTAAAGTTTGTGAGTTTTTTTTTAATATTATTGTGCTAATATTATTTTATTTATTCACTTTTAGTTAAAAATAGATAAATTTTTTTATATTTGTGTTTCATCCTTAAACAGAAGTACTTATGCTGATTTTCTCAGTGTCATTCTTGCATTCTTTGCAAAGTACCATGGTTTATTGTTGTTGCTAATTGTCATTATTGCATATTTCATCAAATTGATGATTAGTTTTACAAATTATAGAAAGTTGAAACAAAGCTAAGAGAACTCTTTATTTTAATAGTACAATAAAAGAATTTGAGACTTGATAACAAATACTCACATTGCATGAACCAATTGTTTTTATGTTCAATGAAAAACTAATTCAACTTTAGAAAAAAGTAGGAATTTCATAAATATTTTGCATGTAACTATACATGTTAGGATTTTGACTTGTTGTTGGTAATAATTCCAATGCATCAAATTCAATTTTGTAGTCCCATAAATGTAATTGGGAATCCACATCATTTCCATCATGAGAGGGTCCATAAATCAACTCCTTCATCTTATCAAACAAAGTCGTTGAACTTTTATTCATCTGGAAAAAAAAATTGAGTGTCAACAATAATGACTCACAAGCTTTAGCTATTTTGTCGTATTTGAAAAAACAATTTCAAACTTTCAAATACCTTAGTTTCATGAGAAATTTGCAGTGTAGAGTTCCCATTGAGTGTAAAGTTGGTAGACACAACTTCAACATCTTCCTCATGGCATAATCGAATGATGTTATTAAAAGTGGCTATATTATTAAGGCTAGTTATTAAAACAACAACCATGTTTAGGCCCATTTCATGGAATTCAATCTGAGTTGGTGACTTTGTAATTGGGCCGGGCTCATTAGTTTGATTGAGTGATTGGGCCCTCTTTAGGCCCATTTTCAATTCTTCCAAGTGCTTCTTGTTCTTCTCTAAATTCATTTTCAATTTTTCTATGTAGTTCACTGCTGCATCTATTTGATCTGGCACTGCCATTGTTGTGTCCTGCAATTAGAAAAAAAAAATGTTACGCGAATTTTAGTTCTTTCGTGATGTTGTATATAGAATTTGGACCAAAGCTATTGAATTCTACAGAATAACTTTTAATCTATACTCCGACTTTGCATGCATGCACAAATGATTTAAGCTAAAATCAAGTGATCATTAATAATCCTATATAAGGAAAAAGGAGAATAAATGGATGCATGCAATGTAGGAGATTCAAGATTTAAATTTTATCAGTTTCACTGACTAAATCATATATATATCGAAATTTGAAAGCTATAAATTCAGAATTTAAATACAATACTAAAAACTTTAAAGACTAATTACCTTAGAGGTAGGGAGCATGGAATGAAGTTGATTACATAGATTTTTCATATGATTCCTTCTATTTTTCTCCACATATTTCCTTTCTAATTTTGGAGCTAATTTAGACTTGAGGCAATTTTCCATTTTTTTTGTTTGTTGAGTACTATTTTTTTATTTTTTAAAAAACTTTTTTTCTCTAGTATTTGCCTATTTGGAGGAACTAAAAATATTGTTAGCTCTCAATAGTTTATTATGAGAAGTACTCCTTTTATAGATTCCACACACCAAGGCAGTAGCTGGTGCCCCCCTTGGGGTCAAAAAGAACATGCATCATGTTGAAAAATAAATCAACTAAAAGAGAATTGACCCAACTCATGAGAGAAAATCATTAATGGGAATTTGCCAATAAATTGAAATTGAAATGCAAAGTTTTACGAGTGTTGATTAGATCGACTATGTTGCATAAAGCGGAGCATTATATTGTCTAATCAGAAGATGAAAGTTACGGAAATGAGGATGTTGTAATGGATGTATCGGCATACGAGGAGAGATAAAATTAGAAATGAGAATACCCAAGATAAGGTGAAAGTGACTTTGGTGGAGTACAATATATGGACAGTGAGGCAGAGACGGTTCAGGCATGTAAAGAGGAGATGCATGAATGTCCTAGCACAGAGGAATGAGGTTGGATATGGATGATTTCAAGAAAGGCATAGACAAGACATAATGACATAGTTTCAGCTTATCGAGGATATAACCTTAGATTGAAGGACGTGAATAATACACAAATTAGATTAGAAAATTAGTTGGTTGTATAGTCGTAATCTTTCAATTGGTTCATATTAGCAGTCATAGTAGCTCTAATATATATTCTTATTTTTCTTACACCTCGACTATCGTATTGTTTGTTGTAGTTTATGTTCTGTTACTATATGTTTTTTTTTGTAATAATTATATATTATTTTTCTACTTTCGTTATCTTTAATTTTTTGGACTTGAGCTGAGAGTTTTATTAGAAACAATCTCTTTAGCTACCTAGATGTAAGATAGAAGTACGGTATGCGTACACCGTATCCCCTCAAAGGCCTCATTTTGTGGAGTTAGTATATCCGAAACAATTTCTCTAGCCACCTCTAAGTTAGAAATAAGCTAAGATATACGTAAACTTTACGCTCTACCCTCTCAAATCTTACATTGTGGGACTAAACTGATTATGTTACTGTTATTGTGATCGTTGTTATAGTAATAATAGTGCAGTGTAATTATCATATATCTCAAATCCAAAATTTAATCAAAATCCTTCTTAATTTTTAGGAATAAGTAATTTTGAAAAGTGTGTGTGTGCCAAAAGCAAAAAAAAACCAAATAATTTATAAATATTAATGTGAATTCAAAATTTATGAATTCTTCTACAACAGAATAAAATAAACATAATAATTGATCTTTAGTTGACTTAATTAATATCCATTTAATATAAAAAAAAAAATACAGAATCTTTGCACTTAGGAATTGACTTATGAAAGGTGAAACACATGTACATTCCTTTAGTCTTTAGTCCCTTTTTTGGTCTGTATTTTTATTTTGGGAGAGGGAATAGTGAGGAAACAAAGAGCTAAATCAGCTGATATTGTTGAATTTATATCACACGCAAAAAATTATTTTGTAAAAACATTTTAACCTTACTATTAGATTCTTAGTGAAATATAGTAGTTCTATAATGACTCTTGTTTATATGATTAATTTTAGGTCAAACTTACTTATAAGACATATTATAATAGTAATAGATCGATGTTGCTTGAGCAAAATTTTATTATAATATACACACAAAAAAAAGATATAAAATAACACTAGAAGTTGTCCAGAATTTTTAAACAGACATCTAAAATTTGTGAATATTTTATCACCCCATGAAACTATTTTTAAGTCAGTGTCACGTAGCATTTTCATTTTTGTGAGCCTTCACTTCTTTATTTTGATTCCATAATTCAAGAAATTATCACCGCAAAATAAATTTATCGTGAATATTGAAATGCTTATCGATTTTGATGGTCAAAGAGAGAGAGAGAAGAGTTAAAATTTAAAGGGAGTTTAGGATTTAATGGAGTGTGTCATAATTAAGATGTGAATGAGTCGAGATAATAGAACGCTGATAAAGTTAAGATAATTTTTAAAAAAAAAATTAAAAATAACTTTAAGAGCGACTTTATATCTTTTCTCATATACACACAGTAAACTGAATTTAGAAGTATAGTTTATCATAAATAAAATATAATATATATAATCCATGAAGTAAAAGTTTAAATTCATCTTTTTTACTCTTAGGTCATGCTTACATATGATTACATCTATCCTTTGTGTCTCTAGGTCTTATAGAGATGGGACACATTATTTACCTTTTGAATTGAATCTACATAAATACTTTTGTTAAACCACTCAAATGTAAAACCACATTGCCAATTTGAATTAGTCAAGTCCTTGTATAAATTGACTTGACAACATCAATAAGAGACTATAGACTTATTACAAATTTAATTTGATTCGATGGAAACATGCATCTCCTCGGGGTCCGCGTGCCGATTCATACGATATATCATTTATTTTTGTATCTGTAAATTAAAATAGATTGAATTAATAAAATATCTTAGATTAAAAGGAGTCGAGCTAAAATGAACTGAAATGTAAAGTTCAACTCGTTCAATTTTCACTAATTTTTCTTTTAATTCTTATAATTTATCTAAGCGTGAAGTGCCTCATGTATATATATAAATAATTATGTGTTAAACTTGAGCAACATGAGTAGTTATCAACTCATGTTTAAAATAAGTTAAATTGAACATATCAAAATGAAACGAGTTAACAAATAAGTGAATTATTAACCTACTAATTAAGAAGAAGTGCAAGAATCATGTTTTCATAGGCTAGTTTTGTGTCTTTGTTAATAACAAAAAGTTTGATAATCATCAACTTAGAAAAAGTATGAGTTTTATTGACATTTTGCATGTAACTATACATGTTTGGATTTTGCTTTTTGTTGGTTATAATTATTCCAATGCATCAAATCCAATTTAGTTTAAATAGATCAAATATTAAATGTTAGTTTAAACAAATATAGTTTGAGTTTCATTTGAAAAAATGTTGATAACTAGAGTAAACAATATTTTATGTAATTATTAGTAGTAAAAAAATTCAAATTCAAAATTTTAAATTTTATTTTGTAGAGTTTGTACGATATTGAGTGAGTAAATTATAGCAATTTTCTTAATGCTCATTAGTAGCATAAATAACATTTTATGCAATCGATTCGATCCCTATTAGGTTATATAATTTTATTTTTATATTTTAATCTGTTTAACTTTGACGTAACAGGATTAGACTAACTATTAACTGATGTACGTAAATTTTAACATAGATTCTCCACTTTAAAAGATAAAATAAGATAAACATATTTAAAAAGTAAATTACTTATTAGTTACATCAATTAACAATTTAAAATATTTAAAAATTTATACTAAAAATATATACTCGTGCACTTATTATTATAGATGGATTTGATTGAGGAAAAAAACACTAGTTTTTGACAAGGAACCATAAAATGAGAAATTCCATAGGAAAGTTATGCACAAGTGGTTGCAAATTAAATTTATTAATTTCTCTGTTTTAATTTATGCGACATTGTAACCGAATAATAAGAAAAGAAAAAAGTTCAAATTAGGATTTGTTTTGGACAAGGAAATTCCTTATCCAATGTAAAACAGTTCCATTTTCAACTATAATTAGAATTTCAAAATGTTTTAAATTGACTTTGTTACAAATGAAAAAAAGAAAAGCTATATACAAAAAAATGGGACTAACTAAATATATTGTTCACCACGTTTTAATTTACATAGTATGAAAATGTTATAAAAAAGGGAAAACAATTAAATTTATGACTTTTTTAAGAATATAGCAATATTAATGGAGTCAAAAATTTAATTAAGGAGTATCATAATATTAAAAAGGTGAACAAATGTGGAATATTATGTTAACCTAACTAAATAATGTAACCTAATTAAATAATGTAAATTTTTTAATGAACAAGATTTTGTTTAACGTATTTTAATATAAAATAATTTTGCTATTGATCATATACTATTAAAAAAAGGGTAACTTTTACATATTAGCAAACAAAAAATTTATATTTGTATGATATAGCAAAGTTTGCATAATTGTGCTCCATAGCAAACATAAAACTGTATAATTCGCTATACATATACAATTGTATAATTCGCTGGCCTAAATTGTATAATTCGCTGGTCTATTTCACTGCAATTGTATAATTCACTATCCTATTTCACTGCAATTGTATAATGCACAATTGTATAAAATTGAATCGAATTAAAATGTATGTATATTGAATAATTATAAGTGTATAGCAAAAAAATATATATTTTTCTCTCGCTTTGTACAAAAACAGAAACACAATATATATATTTCTGTTGTATAAAGCTAGAAAAAATTGTATTTCACTGTAATTGTATAATTCGTAATTGTATAATTCGTTGGCCTTTTTCTCTGCAATATCTGTATAAAATTTGCATTTTGTCTACAATTGAATTGAAGTAAAATGTTTGTAAATTGTATAATTAAGTGTATAACATGAAGATATATGTTTTTGCATGTGTATATACAATATTCTCTCACTTTAT